TCAAAGTGACATTTTTGCTGTCAAAATCAATTGAGAAACTTTTGAACATAGGACTTTAACAATTTTGTTTGTGTGATAAAAATATCCATTCTAATGCATTATCTTCTCTTTACATAAAATTTCTTTGGAGGAATGAGTAGAAGAAAAAAATAACTAAAATACAATAGAATTTGAAACTAAACAATTCTACGTGCTCATCCTGGAATTTCTTTTCCACCAGAGCCAATTCTCTCTCCACCTCAGCTGATAATTTTCTTGGAATATTTAAGTCCTTATCACATTGCAAGGTTTGAAATTCATTGCATATCTATTGAGTACTTTATCCACTTATGAGATATGGCCACCTAATAACTCCCAGCACTTTTTGAAATAATTAACAATTTGTAATTAATCTCAACTAGTTAGTATGTTCTGTGGTTGAATTTTCTTTAAACCTATCTTATATCTCAAATAATTGATAAAATATTCTCTTAGTATTTTTTCGGGAGAAATTTGTAATAAATCCAGTTGCCTTTTAAACATTTTCCATTGTCATTTGGAAATTAAGACAGTTACCCAGGAGAAAAAGAGAAAATTAAATATTGTGCTAGCTGCACATTAACATAAATTGTGAAACACATGCACATTCTCTTATTCATGTGTCAAAGTCTTGTCTGTTGTAAAGTAACATCAACTAAATTCATAGTAGTAGAAATCTGGCTATGAAAGAGATGTGTTTTGGAATTTATTTGCTGATTACAACTGGAAATGACAATGCAAGTTAGGACGTTGGGACTCATTTCAGTATGTTTGTTATACAATATTACTTATTACAGTAATCTACTTAGGACTATTTGATACTACCTGAAATAAGTTGTAGGTACTCTTGCTTAAAATGGTCACTGAAATCTTAATCAGTAGCTGTATAGTGTAGGAGCAGGTACACATCAGCCTATGATGAAGGCAAAATTTTTAAGTGCTCCTCATATGTTATAAACCCCCATCAACTGATTTTTTTCTTTTAATTCCCTTTTGTTATTGCTGTAGGTGGAGTTCAAAATTAGGAGCTTGCTCATATTAAGTAAATGCTCTACCATTTAGCCACAATCCAGTTTACATTTTTCTTAATATCAGTAGATAAGTCATGATTTGGTCTCTTCCCTAGAGACATGCTTTTTTCTTTATGAGTGATTTTAACTAAATTCTTTCCTTTAAACACAGGCGAGTGAAATTTAAAATCCCTTCAACATACTTTTACTGGTAACTTGATACTTTTCAGTACCTCAAAAACAGTACACAGAATTTTCAGTCAGTTACAGTATGATTCAGATGTTTTCACTTCATGTCATAATCTTCATTATTCACATAGACTACAACTGTATGTATGAGGTATTCAAGAATAAATAAGAAAGAACAGATAGTATTTTATCCTTTCCATATATTGTTACCCACAGAGGTTGTTTTACAAAATATTGTCTTCTTGTGCTTAACTATATGGTGACTGTGGTGACCCCTTGCACTTCTGCTCTGGTTGCATTTGTGGTGGTATCTTTTTCCCTGTAGAATATTGAACTAGGAATCTTGTGGATTACTCATTTTTCTGAACTGTTCTCCCTTCATATTTAGTGTGAGAGATGATTCATCCCTTATCTTAATCAATAGCTAAGGTTAAAATCATACTATTTATTATTAGGCTATTCTATCTCTCATATGGCCATAATTTAGAATGTGTTTTGAAAACTATAGAAAGTGATAATATTCAAATTAAACCTATTAGAGTCACTACTGTCCATATAAAACCTAATATCTTCTTGGATACTGAAATTACTGTTTTAGTATAAACTAATTCTAAAGGAAGCACCCTTCAGCTGAAATGTCAAAAGGGTGTAGAATGTGCCACGTCCTCTAGATCCCAAAGAGGTAACAATAAGTTTTATGTTTCTAATTTCATAAAATCTTTTAAACATTTGAAAATTGGGAATGCCACCTCCCACTTCATAACAACATTCATTCCAGGCTTGTTGGTCATGAGCATCAAGTGTTGAGGCTAGTGAGTTGTGCAGAAAATCAGATAAAGCAGTAGACCAAAGATGATAGAATAACTAAAAGTATTATTTGTAGTACAGATATTTGCCCTTCCTTGGCTTTCTTTTTAAATTTTTTGCTTTCATCTGTAAAATAAAACTATCACATGTTCCATCCCCTTTTACAGTTCTGACTGACCATGGAGATACAATGTTGTGATATTTAGTGTTCTAGGTATACACAAGTAGTAGTGCAATTGAGGGACATGGGACACTTCATATCACGAACATTGTCCAATTTGCAGAACCAGGAAAGCATCTCCTTCCTTACATGTAGAACTATGCCATGGAACAGAATGTGGCTTAGCTTTTTCAAATATCAAGGCAGGAACAACAAACTCTATAGATATCTCAGTAGCATCAGTGACATGAGGGCAGATGTCTCTGTATGCTTGTGGTTCTTCAACCTTGTTTTGATATAGACAACAAAGGGTCGTTTATATTTTGTCTGAGGTGGTTTATGAAGACATGAGAAAAAAATTTTTACTGAGAGAACCTCAGATGTTTAAGGCCTCAGTGTCACAACTAATTTAGTGAACAAAAAATTTTAAAAGTCCAACTAAAGTCTTTGGATAAGGTAACTTTATATCTTCTTAATACATTTTTCTTTGTCTAAAATGACATTAAATGATCTGAGGATTTTTCTCCTTCTTTTAATATTCTGCTAGGTGGTGGTGGAGCACTTGGAAAGCAGAGGCAGGCCTATCTGCAGAGTTAGTTCCAGGACAGCCAGAGCTGTTATACAGAGAAACCCTGAGCAAAATTGAATAGACACAATCGTATACACATAAAAGAAAGGGAAGCCATGAATTTGAGAGGAAATTTGGAGCAGGGAAGTAGTTGACTAGGAAGAAGGGTAGAAACAAAATAAAGACAGGACTCATGTATAAAATTCTCAAAATCATAAAAATAAAATTCACTAGTATTTGACAAAAAGAACCAGACATTTTAAAACAGGGAATGTGTCACACACAGTTAGGGTCCCTTGCCCTACCTCCCCTTCTCCTCCACTCCAATTCCACTAATCTGACAAATGTTTGCCAGGGAGAGCACATTTTCTTCAGTATGTTAAAATTCCTTTGAAACTCACAAGATTCCAGTCTCAGTTACTTCCAGGGAAATTGTAGCCAACATATGTGCTTCTGCTCTTCCCCCATGCTTTCATTCAAGTTGCTCAAGCCATATATAATCTCCAAGATTTAGACCGATCCTGTATCCAGTGTACCATCTGATGAATCTTCCTTACCCGACATCACATTATTTCCAAATTTCTGGCTAACACCTGTTTTCACATCTGTATGCTGATAAAATTTTAAGAAACCTGCACGCTTATTTGCTCATATAACCTCTGGTCCTCAGGTTTTATCCAGGCCATATAGTCAGATGTATCCTAGAATCTCTCAAATTAGACACACAATCAAAAAAGTCCACGTACTCACAACACATCACAAAAACAAAGAAAATGTCTAAGGCCAAAACTATCTATGTCTGCTAAAATCCCCTGATCCTGCAGAAATGTCTTCTACCAAGAATTACCTGGGTGAACTCAGGACAGAAATTTAAAGAAAAATTACAAAATTTGTGAAATGTTTCAAAGCATTTAAATAAGACATGAACAAATATTTTAATGAACTAAGTAATGATAACAATAAATATCTCAGTGATCTCCCAGAAAACAAAATAACATATGCCAGAGTGAGATGACAAAGACAACCTGGGGATTTGAAAACTGATTTTATTGAATATATAGAACTATTGAAGAGAAGTGAAGCTGAAATGAAGCTGGAATTGAAAAACTTAATAGCTCACTGGAAACATCAGAGTTGGATACACAATCCTGCCAATTTCTATGAAGATTTTGGCAATGAGGTACCTGCTGGGAGTGAGAGACAATTCTCTCTAAAACTGTAGCCATGGGTAAGTTTACTACACTCCGGTGGAAACCAAATATTCAAGATTATATGGAATACACAAATTTGGTCTTGAAGTGAAAAAAATGATATTAAATGGGATGGATAGGAAAGGAGAAAATTTGAATGATCGGGGGTGAATATGATCACAGTACATTATATGAAACTAATGAAATTTTAAAAGAATAATTGAGAATATAACTCTGATTTTACCTGTCATCTACCTGTCTGTATGTCTGTTTGTCTATCTATATTTTACCAACAACACACCTCTGTTTTATGACTATCCTGATATGTGAACCCATATAGAGCCCCAGTGAAAGACCAAAGAAACCCTACCATCCAGGTATATCCTGTAGAACAAATGAGTTTAGTTGTGTCTTAAACTTACATGAGTATGGGTAAGGGGTTGTCTGCATTATAATGGGTGTATTTAAGAAAGAGTTACTTTTAGAAAGCCCAGCCAATATGGGTGATCACTCAGGAAGAAATCTGTATTCTTAGAGCTCAATAAAAAACTTACAAGAAGCTTGGATTGAGAGTCTCTTCTTTTTAGCATTTTGTTTTTACTGTTCTAGTTCTAAGGACCCAACTTTGGGAGTCTAGTATCCTTATAAGATCTGGAGCTGGGTAAGTTTCATTGAAATCCTGAACCTCTTAAGTGTTTTGAGACATATTGGCTTGTAATTTTTATTTATTTCCTAATCTTTTGGTCTGTCTCCTCTATCAAAGACACATGTTTCAATTCAGAGTAAATAGTTATAGAACAACAATTCACTAATGCAGTGTGGTATAAAGTGGAGTACTATAATATATAGGATTAAATCATGGTTTTTAAAATTGAGGTGTCTTTTTCAATGATAAAATATCCAAAATTAATTGTACATAACCAGAGTAAAATAATAAATAGAAAAGACGTCATCTATGAAATATCTATTAAGAGAAATTAAAGTTAAAAAAGATAATAACTAAACTATTTATAGACAATATACTTTGAAGTTTTACATCATTTCCCAACACTTTGCACTTAATTGACAAATTCTAGTGAAGACAATGCTTTTACAGCAATCTTCTTGAATGCATTCTTGACGTCTTTATTCCTCAGGCTGTAGACAAGAGGGTTTAGCATGGGGATGATCATCGTATAGAACACAGATGCTACCTTGTCAGTGTCCATGGAGTGACTGGAGCTGGGTTGTAAGTACATGAAGATAATCGTACCATAGAAGATGGAAACAGTGGTGAGGTGGGATGAACAGGTAGAAATGGCCTTCTTCCGACCCTCAGCAGAACGCATCCTCAGGATTGCAATAAAAATAAGTAGGTAAGAATACAAGATAATCAATATAGTTAAAGTAACATTAAATGCTGCCAGTGTGAACACTACAATTTCATTATTATAGATATCAGAACAAGAAATAGCCAGCAATGGGGGAATGTCACAGAAAAAGTGATTAATTACATTGGAATGACAGAAAGAGACGTGGAAAGTGAATGCAACATGGATGGAAGATTGCAACAGTCCAGTGATGTAAGAACCAGCAAGAAACAGGGCACATTTTGTAGTTGTCATGGTGGTGGAGTAATGCAATGGTTTACACACTGCTGCATGACGGTCAAAAGCCATTGAGGCAATAAGGAAACCTTCAATAATTGCAAAAGCTATGAAGAAGAACATTTGGGCAGCACATGCATTGTAGGATATGACTTTGTGTTCTGTGACAAATCCTTCTATTACCTTGGGAGTGACAGCTGAGGCATAAACACAGTCTACCAGTGAGAGGTTGCTGAGAAAAAAGTACATGGGATTGTGGAGTCGGGAGTCAAGGAGAATCAACATAATCATCCCAAGGTTCCCAAGCAGTGTGGTCAAATAAATAAGACTGAAGATGATAAATAAAGGGACTTGCAATTCTGGAACATCTGTTAACCCCACAAGAATAAATTCAGTCACCTCTGAAATATTCTGCATCTGGGAATTATGACAGTCTCCTAGAATGAAAGGAGAAAGTGAAAAATTATTGTACATAAATCTTACCATGAAATTTTACATATGACCAAGTTCTCTAACTAAAATGTTAGTAGCATCTAGTTTAAAGGAGTCTAAACTAAATACTGGGTAGAAATGGGCTGAATTTTGCCACTTATCTGAGTGAGTACAAGTGGAGTTTGTCACTTCTCTCTTGTTTAATAGGGCTTCTTGTTATGAATCTAGGTTTTCTGCTATATGATAATATTTATTTTAATAACCCACAAATGACTGATTAGCTGTTTACTACATCTTTTAATCACACTTGTTTAAAATATACATTGGTATCAAGTGCAATGCTACATGTTATTAGCAAACCTTATCTAATGTATTTCATATCTCTGATACTTTCACCATGTTCAGTTCACAGCTGCAGCTATACAGTGATTGTAGCTGCTGCTCCATGGATACTCTGGTTTTCTTTCCTCTAATTTTCTAAGGTCTTCCCTTGGCTTCTTCTCTTTGAACCATGGAACAGATGATAATTATTTAGTGCATGGGATGTATTATTTGTGAGTTTTAGATACATAGCAATATCAGACTCCTAACAGTATAGTTTTGCTAAAAGTAGAAACAATTTTAATTACTTTATTTATATGTAATGGGCTTTATTTTTCACAGAGGCTTGTATTTTTATTGTCATCACACAAGTCTGTTTTATTTGTGTTTGAGTGAGAACAGATTAAGAAGGAATTAAAAGTTACATTTGTTGTCTCTACAGAATCTATGTCTTCAAACAACATGTATTTCATGGTCTACACTGTACCATTTCCATGGTGGATTAATGAATAACTGTGCATCTACACTTACACATGAGCCTTCCTCTTAACCTAAGGTTCATTTCCAACTTCGGAATCTTGGAGATACTCATTCCTCTATATTAATAACCACTTATATTAAAGACAATGGAGAATGTAAGTAATCATATTTTTAATAGCCATGATGAAATTCATCTTTCTTCAAAGCTGTATCTGCACTTACATAACAAGGAACGCATAAGTTCTTTCAAGTCACAAAAGATACCAATATTTTTAAATGATGTAAATCATGCCCATTATTTCCATGTTCTTTCTACTCTTTTCCTGGTTTCCACAGAATTTACATCTCACATTATGAATGTCTAAAAGTTGGTGTTCCCAAGAAAAGGGACCTAGTAACTGTCATTTCAAGTGGATTTTGAAAGTCCTACAGCTTTCTGAAATTAAAACTGAGCTATAATCTGTGGATTTCTATTCCCATAATACATCATAAAAATCGAAAAATTAGAACATGGTCTTCCTCTGGAATGAAACTATCACCACAGGATCCAAAAGTCTTTATTAACATGAAGTCTGGCTGACCTATAGCAATGAGAAGAAAGTGGTCCAAGAATAAAAGGATTAATAGTAATATTTTGTCTATGACTTAGCTACTTTCCCTTTGTACTCATTGAATTGACTTTTTGTTTGTACTCATGAGATAAAAAATGAATGGGTAATTTATCACCATTTACAGATCATACAACAAGCACACACACACACACATACATATATGTGTTTGTATACTTACTATTACGATAGGAACAGACTAAGACAAATAAAAAGATAGGGTGTGAAATATCTCATATCTAAAGCATTGACAAAAATCTGCATCCAGGAAAGCATCTTGCTGTTCTTCTCTACAGGTAGAGCTCTGCTATGAAATGGAATTTGGTTTTGTACTAGTGCCAATAAGAAGGCAGAGACCACAAGCAGTTCATATATCTCAGGGGGAAATCAGTATGTTCCTAGTTGCTTGTAGTTTATAATAATTGAGTGTATGTCTCTGAAGACTCATGAACTTACATTGATTTTTAGCTTGACCTTGATGGAGAAAGCATCAAGAAAGTGTTTGCATTTTGTCTAACACCACTTAGAGGAAAGAGTCTTCTATTAATAATCACAGCTGTTCCACACCTAGAGTGTGCACAAAAAATTGAAAGCCTCATTAAAATTTTGGTAAATTATCCAAGTGTTCTGATAACACATTTTCTCAAAACTTAAAAGATGACCTGAGTACATTTCATTCTCCCATTTTAAACTTTATGAAGAGGACATGACAAACTTCACAACATATTTCATTTGGGTATATCTTTTTCTCCTTATGTATTTAAACTTTTTAAATGTTCATCATTTTCTTTCAGAGTCCACCTATGCAAGTCTCACTGAAATCCCCACTGAGACATTCTCTGATACTCTACTGATCTATTCTCTGTCCCACAACCAATTCTCATGTCTAGTCTGACCAATCAGATCAACAGACTTCAACTTACTTGAAATCCCCACAGTTCACATTCTTAACTTCAGCCAACAACTCCACATACTAAACATCCCATCTCCTTCTCCAAAGTCTAGCCAGATGATGCTTCCTGCCCTACCTATTTATATCTTCCCCACAAACCTCCACATTATGCCTGAGTCCCACATAGTGCCCAAGCCTAGTATAACCTCCCCTTCCTATACCATATAACATCTGTAAAATATACCCCACAAGAAGCTCCTACCTCATGTCTAGCTTACATCCAGACAGATCTACCTCCATAACCCAGGCTTGGACAAAGAAGTACATCTTAAATGCCAGCTCATTTCTACATTCCACCCAAATCATTTTCCCAATTCTTGGCTAAACCTGCCCACAATCCTCTATTATGGCACAACCTGCCCTATCCATATACGACTTAGAAGTAGTGAAAGTATCTAGTAACTCGTATCTTTTCTCCAAAAATTATCAGACTTGTAGAAATGTTAACCAATGGGAATTTCCTATATGAACGTCATGACACAGAATTTAAAAGAACAATCACAAGCTTCATCAACAAATTCAAGGAGTTTAAATAAAACAATGAAATGAAGACAGAGGGTTGATCTCCAAAATTCACAAGGAACTCAAGAAGCAAGTCTCCAAAACATCAAAGGACCCAATTAAAAAGTGGGCTGCAGAATTAAATAGAGAGTTTTCAATAGAGGAGTCTACAATGGCTGAGAGGTACTTGAGAAAGTGCTCAACATCCTTACCCATCCGGGAATTGCAAATCAAAACAACTCTGCGATACCATCTCACTCCTATCAGAATGGCTAAAATCAATAACACCAACGACAATTTATCCTGGAGAGGATGTGGTGAAAGGGGGATACTTCTCCATTGCTGGTGGGAGTGCCAACTGGTTCACCCACTTTGGAAATCAGTATGGAGATTCCTCAGAAAAATGGGAATAAACCTGCCACAAGACCCAGCAACTCCACTCTTAGGCATATATCCAAAAGATGCCCATTCATACAACAAAGATGCCTGTTCTACTATGTTCATAGCAGCATTATTTGTAATAGCCAGAACTTGGAAGCAACCTAGATGTCCCTCAACCAAAGAGTGGATAGAGAAAATGTGGTACATTTACACAATGGAGTACTATTCAGCAGAAAAAAACAATGGAATCCTGAGATTCGCAGGCAAATGGATGACACTAGAAGAAACCATCCTGAGTGAGGTAACCCAGTCACAAAAAGAGAAACATGGCATGTATTCTCCCATATATGGATTTTAAACATAGATCTGGGGAGTGCCAACGTATAATCCCATGGCCAGAGAGTCTGGGAAACAGAAACTTCTTTTAGTGGCTGATCGAAGAAGAGGCAGACTCCCTCGGCTAAGTACTGAGCTGAACTCAAGAAAGCCAGTAACAGAGAGGGAGGACTGATGACCAAAGTGATTAAGACTGGGCTGGTTTAACCCCCAGAAACAGCTGACCTGACAAAGATTAACTCTTGAATCCCAGGCATCAGCCTGGGAATCCAGCATGGGACTGATCAAGACCCCCTGAATTTGGGTGTCAGTGAGGAGGCCTAGGGAATCTATTGAGCCTTGGGCAGCAGATCAGTACCCATCCCAAGTATACACACGGACTTTGGACTCCCATCCAACAATGTGAGATGCACTCTCACCCTGAACTCTTGGGGAAGGGTCTAGACTCTGCCCTATATGAAATGACAGACTATGGACACCCCCATGGAGGGCCTCACCCTCCCTGGGGAAATGAGGGGATAATGGAGGGGATTGAGGGGAGGACACGGGAGGAGTGGAGGGAAAGGGAGAGGGCCCTGGAACTGACTTGTGAAGCAACCTTTTTTCTTATCTAAATTTAAACTGAAAAATAAATAAATGAAAAAAGCCAAAAAATGAAAAAAAAAGAAATTAAGAATAAATGAATAAAGGAGAATAAACACATTAGTAATGAAACAAGAAACAGAATGCTGATGGAAATGAAGAAGCCAATCTAAGAAATAAGAATGAAATAAAACGTCGAGATGGACATAGTAAAATTGAAGAGAACTAAATCTAAAATTAAAATGGAAATGTAAGTCTAATAACTAAACTAGAAAAAGCAATTAAGTTTCTAAACAGGTACCAGTTCAACTTCTCCACATTCAATAAATTGTGTACATGTTGTCTTTAACAATTAGACATCATCTTCAGTTTGTAGAGAGAAACTTAAAGTCTTGGTAATATCCCATTGGCCCTTTTGGCAAACAACTCAATTAGATGTAACTCAATCCAATGCAGGGAGTGTCATTTGATGGCAAGAGATGTCCATTTTAGGTCTTAGTCTCTGCTAATATTTGGTGATTGAATTTAGATTAACTTCACACACATATAAACACACATGCACGCGTGCACGCACACAAGTACGTGTACGTATGTACATATGTATGTATGTATGTGTGTATGTATGTATGTATGCTTCTACTCTATTAAGTTTCTATATTACCCCTCAAGCCTTTAGCCTCATGTTCAAGAATTTTTGATACAGGTAGGTACTATCCATACTATCAAAGGAGAAATATAAACACTGACTATACCCAAACCATTTTTTCAACAATGGTGTACAATATGCTAGTTCAATTGTAGCACAAAGCTTATGTGAGTAAGCA